TGCTCTTACTGAGTTCCACAGGTAGCCCATCCCTTAGCAGGTTAGCTTTCACAGCTTTGTCCTTGCTTTTAAGTCAGTTTGTGGTCTTACTGTCTTTTCCTGTGATCTTCTGCCACGCCATCTGTATACTCTCCCACTGACTTTGATTAACCACTCACCCTAGCTCTCTCTGCTCCAATCAGAGGCCAGTCAGTGCCAGTATCCCCCACTATCAGAGTTTCTCCCTAAGTCGTAACTTTTGTCTTTTCCATCAGACACATCAAGGACCTCCTATTCAATAACGTTCCCTAACAGTGGCCCAAGTTTGCTTTTTGTGAGAGACGTCTGGATGCTACAACCAACAGAATGTAAATTCTTCCCACACATGCCTGTTCCCTGAAATTCCATTAATCTTTTTCTATTTCTTTTCTTGATTTACATTTGAGTTTGGCAGAGCCTTGAATATAACCTGTTTGCTGCTGGCTGTTTCATTAGAGTAGCCTCATTGTGCAGTGGCTGCCTTCTGTACTGCATTGCACATCATAAGTAGTTGATTGAGACCTGATTTTGCCTCTTGGGAGCAGCAAGGTGCTTGAGCAACATCGACAGTAAAAGGGCATAAAGAGGGGGTCTTTGAATGAAAACCATGAGGTGGTGGTGGCCTCTTAATTCACTATGTCTGGGACCATAGGGATATTTCACTGGATCAGTTGACTGGAGGTTTCATTCCTGGAGGCAACACTGCAGCAATATAGTATGCTGGCCTGTCCACACTTGGGAGTACTGGGTGTAGTTCTGTTTAACCTGTTTTTCTAATCAGCCTGTTCAGAGATGTTATTACATACCTCTGAAACAGGTGGTACTTGAACCCAGGCCTCCCAGTCTAGGGTTAGGGATATTACCACTGCACCAGAAGAGGGCCCTTTACTGTGCTACAATGAGAACAAATACAGACATTCATATGGGTGCAGAGATGGCCTAAACCCCAAAGTAAGGGAGTTACTATTGAGGAAAGGCTGGAACTTAATCTCTCCATTCTAGAGAGAGTTGGAGATCGGTAGATTGTGTTAAATAGCTGAAAGGGTAAATCAACATTGTTAATTACCGTAAGTTGAAGTGACAAAGATTAATTAATAAAGGCTAAAATTTATATCTTGGGAATTTCTTCGCTCCAAAACTTTTAAAAAAGGAGTTGTTTGGAACAACCATCAAGGATACTTACAGTATAGTTAAATTCTAAAATGGAGGACATAGAGTAGCAGAAGAGTGGGTTTCAAATTTTATTGGTTGAAGAACATCTCTTAAATGGTTCAGTAATCATGGTTCCTCTACCGTAAACTGTGAGATGTTCAGGATATGAACATGTATACAGTGTTTCAATAATATGGTTAAGTATACAGGCATTCTCTCTGATATGATGGTGTACCTGCTACTCACTGCAGAGCCTCTTTATACATGATGTAAAGTTTGCTGTACTCTGTTCCTAGCTCCTGACTCTCATCAGCTCACCCCTGGCTGCCTCTCATTTGCTTTCTCTTCACCATGGCCCTATGTGGTCTCCTGCCCTGCTTGATGAGCACGTTCACATTATTTTGCAGGCCCCCTGCAAACTGTGTACAGAGGCCCAGGGGTTCCAGCTTGAGAACCTTTATAGATGACTGGACAAGTGACTGCGTTAGTGAAACAGATACAGCTTCTATCTCCAGTGGATTGGGGACAGGTTGAGGTGGTGGTGTTGGGGCTGAGTCATATATATAAGTCATATATATGAGGTTTCTTGAGGTTGGGTGCAGGCAGCAACATTTTGACCTGTATCCAGGGGGGAAGGAGTCAGGTTATAAGCATCGTTGTCCCAGAGGTGTGGGTAACATGTACTTGTGTGATTGCTTAATGTATCCAAACATGGTTGGAAAGAATTGTGGAGTGACACTCCATTTCCTCTCCAGATGTAATGTGTACTTTTCAAATGTGCCATCAACCAAGCTGTCTGCTGTTTGGCCAACTGACTGGGGTGTCACTGCCTCAAATTTGGCAAGTCCACATTGTGCGGGTTTTGGGAGCTGGTTCAATTGAAATATTGTGGCAGAAATTGCCTGACCAGTGAAGCCTGAATCATTGTCTTGGTTCCACACCTCAAGATTTACTGTGTCTCCAGTATTTTTCCTGCTTCCGTCTTCTGTTCATTTCCTTTGGAAATAGGGACTGTATCAGCTACTATTGAAATGAAAAAGTTACACAGCAGAGATCCTGTACTTGGGAAAGCTGCAAAGTTTAGCACTTTCTGTGCAACAGCCTTAGGTTCTTAAAATAAAGGACCTGATTAAAAATTTGACAAGGCCTGGTGCCCTTACTTTTTTGATCACTCCTGGGATATGAGCATCAGATTATGGCAGCATTTATTCCCATTTCAGATTGCCTTGGAGAACGCCAACATCTTGCTGTGTAGAAACACCCACAACTCTGTTAGCCAGGATTTTGACCCAGTGATACTGAAGGAATGGCGATGTGTTTCTAAGTTGGGATGGTGAGGGGAAATTACAGGTGGCGGCGTTCCCATGTATCTGCTGCTCTTGTTCTTCTAGGTGGTAGAGATAGCAGGTTTTGAAGGTACTGTCAGAGGAGCTTTGCTGAGTTACTGCAATGCATCTTGCTGATGTTACAGACTGCTATCTCTGTGCGTCACTGATGACAAACTGAATGTTGAAGTTGTTAATGGGTTGCTTTATCTTGTATGATGTTAAGCTTCTTGAGTGTTTTTAGAGCTGCACCCTTCCTGACGACTGGGGGAGTGTTCTGTCCCACTCTGACTTGTACCTTGTTGATTGTGAACAGGTTTTGGGGAAGCAGAAGGTGAGGTACACAATACAGAATTCCTAGTCTCTGACCTGTTGTTGTAACCGCTGTATTTATATGGGTAGCCTAGTTCAGTTTTTGGTCGCTTGTAACTCCCAGAATGTTGTTAATAGGAATTCAGTGATGATAATGTCATTGAACAACAAAGGGTGATGCTTAGATTCTCTCACTGGAAGTGGACATTGCCTTGCACTTAAATGGCACAAATGTTACCTATCACTTCTCGGATCAAACCTGGATAATGTCCAGATCTTGTTACATTTGAACGTGCACTGCTTCAGTATCTGAGAAGTCACAAATGGTGCTGAACATTGAGCAATCATCAATGAACATCCCCACTTTTGACCTTATGATGGAGGTCATTGATGAAGCAGCTGAAAGTGGTTGGGCCTAGGACACTGGCCTAAGGAACTCCTGCAGTGATGTCCTGGAGCTGAGATGACTGACCTCCAACAACCACAGCCATCTTCCTAAGTGCTAGGTATGACTAGAGATTTCCCCCAATTCCCATTGACACTAGTTTTGCTGGGCTACTTGACGCCACACTCAGTCAGATGCTGCCTTGATGTCAAGGGCTGTCACTCTTACCCTGGAATTCTACTCTTTTGTCCATGTTTGATCCAAGGGTGTAATGAGGTCAGGTGGTGAGTAGTTCTGGCAGAACCCAAGTGTGAGTATCGTGTGCTACTGGCTAGCACTATTGATGACCCCTTTCGTGACTTTGGTGATGTTGGAGAGGAGACTGATAGGACGGTAGTTGACCAGGTAGGATTTGTCCTACTTTTTGTGTACAGGACATGCCTGGCAATTTTCCACACTGCCAGGTAGATATTACTGTATGGAACAGCTTGTTAAGGGTGCAGCAAGTTCTGGAGCACAGGTTTGCAATGCTTCTACGGGATTGTTGTAAGAGCCGATAGCCTTTGCAGTTTTTCAATACTGGCAGCCGTTTCTTGATATCACGTGGAGTGCATCAAATTAATTGATGACTAACATTTGTGATGCTAGCGACCTCTGAAGGAGGCTGAAATGGCGCATCCACCTGGCAGTTCTGGCAGAAGATTGTTGTTAATGCTCCAACTTTATTTTTTGCGCTCATGTGGTGCCACCCCACCCTCTGCAAAATAAAAAAAACCATCGAGGATGTGGATGTTTGTCATAGAGTCATACAGCTGTACAGCATGGAAACAGACCCTTCGGTCCAACTCGTCCATGCCGACCAGATATCCTGAACAAGTTTTTAGTTCCATTTTCCAGCATTTGGCCCATATCCCTCTAAACCTTTCCTATTCATATACCCATCCTTGTCATTTAATTGTCTACCACCATTTATGACTGAATGTGACAGGCCTGATCTGATCCATTGGTTTTGGATTGCACAGCTGCGTTGTGTGCTGTGTGGCAAGCACTAAGTCCCGTGTCATAGTTTCAACAGGTTTTTAGATAGTCTCTTGCACTAATTATTGAGCCAGGGCTGATCTCCTGCCTAGTTGGTAATGATAAACTTGGTAATGGATATGTCAGGCTATGAGGTTACGGATTGTGGCTGAATATAATGCTGCTGTTAATTGCCCATGACATCTCTTGAGTTGCTAAATCTATTTGAAATTTGGTCCATTCACGACGGTGATAGTGCCATAGGACCCAAAGAAGGGCAACTTCATTGTGAAGAAAGGGCATCATCTCTGCAGTGGCTATATGTTGACCCCACTTCGACCAATACTGTCATGAGCAGACCCATCTGTGACAAGGTCAATATGCTTTTTCCTTTTGTTACTTCCCTCACCACCTATCAAATATCTAGTCTAATAACTTTGTCCTTTAGGACCCATTGCTATTGGTTTGGAGTAATATACAGGCAAGACCAGTGAGGGGCAGCAGCTTTCCTACCCAAAGGGCATTAGTAAATCAGATGGGTTTTATGGCAATCAACAATGCATGGTATCCATTAGCCATAAGTTCCAGACCATTTAGTGAATTCAAATTTCATCATCTGCCTTGGTGGGATTCGTACCTGAGTTTCCCAGGATATTAGCCTGTTGATCTGGATTAGTAGTTAGGTGACATTCTTCTTTTCCTCTTGAGTATCTGGAGATGTGCAACCAGAAGATGATGTTGGATTGCTATGTAGGAGGGGTACATTGACTGTATGCTTGTCTTGTTGACAGATAGCTGATGATCGTATGGCATTGGTGTCTGGGATCAGCCTGGATCCAGAAGCTGCCATTGGTGTAACTAAGAAACTGCCTCCAAAATGGGTGGATGGAGTGGAACAGGTAAGTGACTAGTACATTGCTGGGTAATGAAGTCTTACAGGTTTAGGATTTCATTGGGGAAGTTAGATAGGTATTTAGGGTATTGTGCGTGTAATGGTTGGGGAGTGTCCAAGAGTCCCTTCAGTGAGTGAGTGTTTGGTGGTGAGGGTTGATCTTATGTCTTTTTGACCAGAAAGAACAGGTGTCCCTATCATCAGCTGTAGGTTTTGGGGGAAGATCTTTCTGGCAAAGTATAGGGAGGCTTCCTAAAATCAAATTCTGGCAGACAGACAGAGGAAAGTGGGGCTCCCCACAATCAGAGTGGGGGGCTTAGTGGTGGCAAAAGATGAGGAGATTTCCTGTAACCAGCTATTGCTTGGGGTTGCATTCCAAATGGAACGATGAGACTTTCAAACTGCATTTATATATGACCTTAACGTTGCAAACCAGGTGTATCACAGGCAACCTGTAAGACAAAGATTGATACAAAGTCTCATAAGGAGATATTTAGACAAGGGACCACAAACCTGGTCAATATGGCAGGTTTTGGGGAACAACTTAAAGGGACCAGTGATGCAGGAAAATGGAGAATTTAGAGGCAGATTTCCAATGCTTGGAAATGCAGGTGAAGTCACAGTTGCCAGTAGTGCTGTGATGAAAACAGAAGATGAGGCCAGAACCAAAGGAACACAGTGTTCTCAGAGAGATGTAGGGCTGTTGGAAGTAGCTGAATTGGAGTGGAATGAAGTCATGGAGAAATTTGAGTGTAGCGGTAAGCTTTTTTTAAAATGGGAGATGTTGTGGAAACAGTGGTCAATGAGTAGAGGAATGATAAGGAACTAGGAGGTGGTGTGAGCCAGATGCATTGGCAGTACAGTGTTGGATGAGCTGACGTTTACGTGGTGTGGATAATGGGAGGCCAGCCAGCACGGCATTCAGAGATAAAAGCAGAAATTGCTGGGAGTCTCGATGGCTGAAGAGTCCCCAAGTGGATAATGAGATGCATTCAGAGAGTTATGTTTCTAAGGTTTTGGAGTAGAACTGTAGCTCAGCTTGTGGGTGTTGAGGTTGGTTGGCTCACCGAGCTGATTTGTTGTTCCGCAGACGTTTCGTTACCATGCTGGGTAACATCCTCAGTGCAGCCTCCGATAAAGCGTCGATGTGTTTTCCTGCCTGGTTTTTAAACTCTGGGGTCCGTTGAGATGGATTGCCTCACTTCCGGTTTTCCTTCCCACATAGCATGCTTCGTGGAGTGCCATGCTTCCAGGAATTCTCATGCTTGTCTCTGCCTAGCTTGTCCCAGGATCTTGGTGCTGTCCCAGTCGAAGTCGTGGTCAGTCCACATGGACAAGGCGAACCATGACTTCGACTGGGACAGGCTAGGCAGAGACAAGCACGAGAATTCCTGGAAGCATGGCACTCCACGAAGCATGCTATTAATAAACACACTGAACTCGACCCCACATACATTCCACTACGAAGGAAAACCGGAAGTGAGGCAATCCATCTCAACGGACCCCAGAGTTTAAAAACCAGGCAGGCAAACACACCGACGCTTCATCGGAGGCTGCACTGAGGATGTTACTAAGCATGGTAACGAAACATCTGCAAAACAACAAACCAGCTCGGCGAGCCAACCAACCTCAACAAGAGTTATGTTTGCAAGGAGCAAAACACGGATGGGGAAGATGGGCAGAGGCAGAGAAGGAAGAGGATGTCAATGTGGTTGAAATAGACAGTCGTAGGGATTGAAAGGGTATGGAGTCAGAAGCTGAGTTCAGGGTGAAATAGAACACAGAAGTGTAATCTGGTTCAACTTCAGACAATGATGGGTGGAAGCACAGGTGGTGGCTGGAGCCAAAGCTCAATGGCTTTAACCTTCCTGTAATATTTAATTAGCTAATATTTAATTAGCTAATATTTAATTAGCTAATATTTAATTAGCTAATATTTAATTAGCAAACATTTCTTTTCATGCAGTATTGGAAGTCAGACAAGCAGAATGAGAAATCACAGACAGTGCAGGGGCCAAAAGAGATGGTAATGAGATAGAGCTGGGTACCATCAGTGTACACTTGGAACCTGATGTATCTTTGGAAGATGTTGCTGAGGGACAGCATATAGATATGATATCAGTTGGTGGGGGGTACACCAGAGATCATAGTGCAGGAACTGGAAGAGAAGCCATTACGGTGAGTTGTCATCTGTGACTGTTTCGATAAGAATGGATCAAGGTGAGCGCAGTTCCACTCAGCTGGGAAGCAGTAGAGAGGCATTGGAGGGCGATGTTGAAAACAACTGTAGGCAGATTGAGGAGAGTAGGTAAGGATCATTTATCTTTGTTACATTCACTTTGGACATAACTTAGGATGCTGATAAGGGCTGTTGCAGAACTAGGTCACAGATAGCAACCTGAAGATCAAATCAGTGCAAGTGTCAAAATCCATCAGATTAAGACGTTGGTGTGTATTTGTAATTCTTTTTCTTCTTTCAGATTCAGTTTGACATCACCAGAATAAAACAGAAGATGAAGGAGCTGGCTGGTTTACATGACAAGTATTTGAACAGGCCAACACTGGATGACAGCAGTGAGGAGGAGCATGCAATAGAAATCACCACGCAGGAAATAACACAGGTCTGGCAGTAAGGCAGCATCAGTAAGAGTGGAGAGATCTGGGGGTCAGAAAGGGTGTATATCCTCTGCTTTAATCAGAAACTAACTGTAGAATTTTAAGCACCACTCAGTGTATAAAATCAGCGCTAATTCTTCTCCCTTTGAGCCATCTATTATAATCCTACTTTTCTGGTCACTCCCATATCTTCTGACATGTCTGTTTGTCAGGCAGCCCACGGGAGTCTGGGACATTGAAATTATTCCAGATTGCGTTAGATAAATTTTTGATGGGCAAAGGAATGAACTGTCATGTGGGGCAGACAGGAAAATGGAGTTGAAACCACAACTGAAAGGGCTAAATGGCTTGCTATGGCACCCAAGTCCTTTTGTTCCATGTGTTCCTTTCCAACATTATGAACATAACTTCGGGATTGCTGACTGCTGCTGCTACAGCGTTGTTGGCTGCATTTGGATGGCTTGTTTCACTTGTGCAGCAAACTCGCACCTTGTGTGCTGCCGCTGCACATCTACTTTGCTCAAAAATCCTGCTAAGCTCATTTCAATTTACAGTCTTGATTACCAGAATGGTGAACAACAGGCACACAGTCTCCAGCACAGAAACAGCCCATTTGACCTAACAAGCATTTGATAGCATTAATGTTCCATTTGAGCTTCCTGCCACTCTATTTACTTCATTTCGCTTTGACATCTCCTATTCCTTTCTTCCAGGTCTACTTAATTAAATTCTCCTTAAGGGCATCTTTGCTAGTCAGATTAGTGCTATGCTAGCAGATTCTATGTCCTCACTACTTTCTGCATGAAACGGTTTCTTCAGAATTCCCTATTGGATTTATTGGTGGCTATCTTGTACTTATGACCTTAAGTTTTGCTCTTCCTCACATTGGGAACACAATTTTAAAGTCCCTTAGATCACCACTTGGCCATTTTTTTTCTAAAGGAAAGAGACCAAGTCTGTATATATTTTCCTTATGGCAATGTGTTTCTAAATCCTTCAAAGAATTTTTAACACTTCTCCCAGTGCTCTAATCCTTTGTAATATGGTAACCAGAAGTGTATGCATTACCCTGAACGTGGTCTAACCAGGGTAAGTTAAAGAACTGGCTGGCAGACAGAAGACAGGAACAAACGAATCATTTTCCGAGTGGCAGTCCGTTACTAGTTGGGTCAGTGCTTGGGCCCCAGCTACTCAATATATATTAATGATTTAGAGGAGGAAACCAGTTGATGGTGTTTACTAGGGCTCTCGAGGCTTTTGTTAAATTCCCATGTAAAAGTAAAGTGCATGGGGTAGGGTAGTGTACTGACAATGATAGGGAACTAGTTGGCAGTCGGGAAACAAGGAATAGGCATAAACTAGTCACTTTCTGAGTGGCAACCTGTGTCCAGTCAGGTTCTGCAGGGATCAGTGCTTTGACCCCTGATAAGCACGATATAATGTGGAGGTGCTGGTGTTGGACTGTATTGGGCAAAGTCAGAAGTCGCACGACCCCAGGTTATAGTCCAGCAGGTTTATCTGAAATCACAAGCTTTCAAAGCACTGCCCCTTTGGTTGGTATGGATGAGTTGGACTGAAGCGTCTATTTCCATGCTGTACATCTCTATGACTCTGACAGACCATTTCAGAATCATGAGCTGTTTTTACAGTCAATAGGGAGGAATGTTCCCACTTGTGAAAAGATTGAGAACAACAGTTTTAAAGGAATTAGTACAAGAACCAAAAGTAACATGAGGATACATTTTTTACATGCAGCAAGCGCTTAAAGCCCAGAACTAACTACTTGAAACTGATGTTAAATTCAATAAAGGCATTCCAAAGGGAATTAGGGGATTATCTGAAAGGGAACAACATGCAGGGTTACAGTGCAAAGGCAGGAGAATGGCACTAAGTGAGATAACACAGTGTGGAGCTGGAGGAACACACCAGGCCAGGCAGCAAAGGAGCAAGAAAGTTGACGTTTCGGGTCAGGACCCTTCTTCAGAATTTCTGCCGTGTTCCTCCAGCTCCACACTGTTATCTCTGACTCCAGCATCTGCAGTTCTTACTATCTCTGGCACTAAGTGAGATACTGATTTGGAGTATGGCACATATAGAAAGGTTTGACTGGTTGAAACAATTCTGTGATTGTGATTTTTTTTTTATTGAAATCAACGTCAGTTCGAAGTGCAAAGCCTCCTGAAACACAACTGCACTGTTTGCAATCATCATGTCACAGGGGAGAGATCTACACAAGATATTGACGATCAAGTTACACCTAGTTAGTGGCTTTAAGGTATTGAGAGTGAGCAGGAGCAGGAATGCTGAAACAGCCATCATGTACAAGGGTTTTCCTTTTAAAATAAGGATCATTTGGCACTTCAAATTTCATATTCTCCTCCTAATGAATGGTTAGTTGGCTGCAAGACATAAAGACTCAGGGTAAAGAGTAGGTGTACAGCGCAGCCAAAAGGTAAACAGCACAGACCCAAACAATCAGTACGAGACCACTGGGTTCACAATTTATATCTTTGTTTTGACTGTGGAATCAAAAGGCGCAATATCTAAATTTGTGGTGTATCAGTGCGGGGGAAAAGTTAAAATTGAACAGGACCTTTGTTGCATTCGGTCCATAGCCAGGACAACCTTCCTCAGATCAGGTGACCAATACGGTACACAATACTCACCAAGGCTCTATACAATTGCAGCAAGACATCCCCACACTGTACTTGAATCCTCTCACTATGAAAACCAACATACCATTGGCCGCCTTCACCACCTGCTGCACCTGCATGCTTACTTTCAGTGACTGATGTACAAGGACACGCAGGTCTCGTTGCACCTTTACCTTTTCCAATCTATTGCCATTCAGATAATAATCTGCCTTCCTGTTTTAGCTACCAAAGTTGATAACCCCACATTTATTCATACTATACTTAATCTGTCACGTATTTGCCCACTCACTCAACATGTCCAAATTGCACTGAAGCATTTTTGCATCCTCCTCAGTTCATTCTCACACCCACCTTTGTATTGCCTGAAATCTCGTAGATATTATACTTGGTTCCCTCATCTAAATCATTAATCTATATAATGATTAGCCACACCACACTAGGTTTAAGTCCAACAGGTTTATGTGAAATCACAAGCTTTCGGAGTACCGATCCTTCGTCAGGTGAAGCGACTTCTAAGTGAGATAACACAGTGTGGAGCTGGAGGACCACACCAGGCCAGGCAGCAGAGGAGCAAGAAAGTTGACGTTTCCGGTCAGGACCCTTCTTCAGAATTTCTGCCGTGTTCCTCCAGCTCCACCCTGTGTTATCTCTGACTCCAGCATCTGCAGTTCTTACTATCTCTGGCACTAAGTGAGATACTGATTTGGAGACCTGGCACATATAGAAAGGTTTGACTGGTTGAAACAATTCTGTGTACCTTTTGCCAGCATTTTTCCCATATCCCTCTAAACCCTTCCAACTCATATACTCATCCAGATGCCAGGGATTGACTCGATCCCTGCTGTCTATACCTGATATATGCTTCCTTCTTTTTCTTGACCAGAACCTCAATTTCTTTAGTCATCCAGCATTCCCTACACATACCAGCCTTGCCCTCCACCCTAACAGGAACGTACTGTCTCTGGACTCTCATCATCTCATTTTTGAAGGCTTCCCACTTCCCAGCCATCCCTTTACCTGAGAATACCCGCCCCCTGCAATCAACATTTGAAAGTTCTTGCCTAATATCATCAAAATTGGCCTTTCTCTAATTTAGAACTTTAACTTTTAGATCAGGTCAATCCTTTATTTTAAAACTAATAGAATTATGATCTCTTGCCCCAAAGTGTTCCCACACTGACACCTTAGTCACTTGCCCTGCCTTATTTCCCAAGGGAAGGTCAATTTTTGCATGGTACGCTCAGATACTGAATAAGAAAATGTTCTTGTACACACTTACCAAATTCCTCTCCATTCAATCCCCTAACACTTTGGCAGTCCCAGTCTACGTTTGGAAAGTTAAAATCCCCTACCATTACCACCCTATTATTCTTACAGATAACTGAGCTCTCCTTCCAAATTTGCTTCTTCGTTTCTCACTGACTATTGGCGGGTCTGTAGTACAATCCCAATGAGATGATCATCCCTTTCTTATTACTCAGTTCCACCCAAATAACTTCACTGGGTGTATGCCCTGGAATATCCTGCCTAAGTCCAGCCATAATGTTGTCCCTTATCAAAAACGCCACTCCCCTCCTCTTGCCCCCTTTCTATCCTTTCTATGGCACCAATACCCTGGAACATTAAGCTGCCAGTCCTGTCTGTCCTGAGCCACATTTCTGTAATAGCAATGATATCCCAGTCCCATGTTCCCATCCATGCCTTGTGTTCATCTGTCTTACCTCTGTTAGGCCTCTTGCATTGAAATAAATGCAGTTTAATTATCAGTCCTACCTTGTTCTCTGCTTTGTTCCTGCCTGCCTTGACTGTTTGACTTGCCCCTTTTTTTCCAACTGCACCAGCCTCAGACTGATCTCGTTTCTCATTATCTCTCTAGGTCGTTTCCTACCCCCACCTCCCCCCCGCCCCACCCCACCCCCACCCCCCAAACTCCCACCCCTCAACCTGCCTTGTACATGTACACACAAGATTAAATCCTCCCCACCAGTGTATTAGTCCCCTTCCAATTCAGGTGCAGTCCATCCTTTTTCATGCAGGTCACTTCTACCCCATAAGAGATTCCAATGATCCAAAAATGTGAATCCTTCTCCCTTACACCAGCTTCTCAGCCACACATTCACCTGCTCTATCCACCTATTCCTATTCTCACCATCATGTGGCATCAGGAGTAAGCCACATATTACTACCTTCGAGGACCTACTTTTTAAATTCCTGCCTAATTTCCTGTATTCTCTCCTCAGAGCCTCATTTCCCTTCCTATGTTGTTTGTTCCAATGTGTACAATGACCTTCTGCTGCTCCCTCTCCCCTTTGAGAATATTTTGCATCCTCTCCCAGATATCCTTGACCCTGGCACCCAGGAGGCAACATTCTGATATCTTGTTGCCAGCCACAGAAATGTCTGCCTGTGCCTCTGACTAGAGGGTCCCCTATCACAATCTATCACTTGGAACCTGATGTATCCCTTGTTATAGTAGACCCTGTCTTGGTGCCCGAAACTTGGCTGTTGGTGCTAAGTTCCCCTGAGAGTCCATCACCCCTACATTTTCCAAAACAGCATACTTGTTTGAGGTGGGGATAGCCACAGGAGACTCCTGCACTACACCCTATAGGTAATTCGTCTACCCAACTTTATCTGCAGTTTTTCTACCTTCCTGAAACTGCCATTCAACACGTCTCCAAGCTCCTGTATGTTCCTTGTTGCTTCTAACTGCTGCTCCAACGTATCCATGTAATCCAATAGGATTTGCAACCAATCACATTTCCTGCAGACGTAACATTGAAATCCTCCCTAATCTTCCACCTCCAACAGGAAGAGCACATCACTCCACTAAAGGCCATTTCTGCACTTTAACAATCTACAGACCCAGAAATTAGCACAGTCTTACTGGTCTAGAGTAACTTAGTACCTATGTTTACACTTAAACAAAAAGTTTAATCCGGAGATGGATCTCAACAAAACATATAAACAAACAAAAATCGCCCTACTCCTAATGTAGATTTTAAAAAAAGAGTATGGTTAGATTTTAAAAAGGAAAACCCTTAGTTGATCGGTGCTATGAAGCGATACTGAGTTTTCTCCAATGTCAGCTGTGAATTTCACTTTTTGTTTATTTTTCTTTAGACTGAACTCCTGTGTGGAAGGTAGTAGGAACTAAACAACATAGGCAGTCAGCTGTGCAGGTTCACGTCTCCTCTCAGCCTTTTCCTTTTCCAAGGAAAACAGTCCCAACATCAACCTTCATAACTGATTTTGTACCAACTTTTCTCTCTAATCAATATTGCCACTTCTCCTTAGCTTTTCTTGAGCGTTATTTTGGGCAGACAGAAGATCATTTTCAATTCTTGTCTGGTTTGCATCAGCTTTCTGTTCATGTCATAACATCAAGATCTTCCTGTAAAAATGATTGCTTCTGGATCAGTGTTTACTTTGTGTTTTGCTCTTTGAACCATATAACCTCCAGGAGGGGCATCAGTTAGCTCAGTTGACTGGCTGGTTTGCAAGGCAAGATGATAAGCGTGGGTTAAATTCAGTGGTATCCAAATTATTGGAAAAATTTCTGAGGGACGGGATTAATCAACACTTGGAAAGGAAGGGATTGATCATGGATAGTCAGCATGGACTGTTAAAGGGAGATCCTGTCTGACTGACTTAATTGAGTTTTTTCAAAAGGTGACTTAAATATATTGATGAGGTTAGTGCGGTTGATGTGGTTTACATGGACTTCAGTAAGGCCTTTGTGAAGGTTCCACGTGGAAGGATGGACCAAATGGTAAGAGCCCATGGGATCCAAGGCAAGTTGTCAAATTGGATCCAAAATTGGCTTACAGATAGGAGGCAAAGGGTGATGGTGGAGGGTTGTTTTTGTGATTGGAAGCCTGTGACCATCAGTGTACCAACTGGGATCAGTGCTTGGTGATCCTTGCTGATTGTTATGTATGTTAACAACTAGGATGTGAGTGTAGAAGATTTAATTAGTAAGTTTGAATATGACACAAAAATGGGTTGTGTTAGTATGGAGACTGGTCGCAGGCAGCAGTGTGACATTGATCAGCTGGTAAATTGGGCAGAACAATGACAGATGAGCTTTAACCCTGGTAATTGTGAGGTGATGCATCTTGGGAGCTCTAATAAGGGACAGATATACACAAATGAATGGTAGGTCCCTGGCGAGTACAAAGGAAGAAAGGGACCTGGGTATCCAAATTCATAGATCCGTGAACATGTCAACACAGGTAGACAGTGTGGTGACGAAGGCGTACAGGATACTTGCCTTCATTATCCCGGGTGTAAAATAAAGGAGCAAGGAAGTCTAGTTAGAACTTTATAAAACATTGGTTAGGCCACATGTGGAATACCAATTGCAGTTCTGGTCACCACATTGATTGTAGGATCTGATTGTATTGGAGAGGGTGCAGAAGGAGATTCATCAGGATGTTGCCTGGGGTGAGAAGTCTGTTATGAGGAGAGACTGGATAGGCTGGGTTTCTTTTCCTTGGAGCAGAGGAAACTGAGGGGTGATCTGATTGATAGAAAATTTTGAGAGGCACAGACAGAGTAGATCATGAGAATATTTTCTCCATGACAGACTTAAGAACAAAAGGCATAAGTTTAAGGCGAAGAATAAGCACTTTAGAGGAGATCTGAGAAAGAAAATGTGGTAGTAGAAATATAGAACGGGCTGTCTGAGAAGATGGAGGCAGGTACGCTCGCAATATTTAAGCATGTGGGCAACCACTGAAAACAAAAAACTGAAAGAACTTCGGATGCTGAGCTTTTCCAGCAATTTCTGTTTTTGTTTCTGTGCACTTAAAATGCCAGGACACAGGAGGCTGTGGACCAAATGCCGGTAAATGGGTTTAGTACAGTTTAATGTTTGTTGATTGGCATAGACACGGTGAGACAAATGGCCTGTTTCTATGCCATATGACTCTACTTCCCAAACCGGTTGAGGTTACCATGAAGGACTCTCCTCAACTTCTTCCCTCACTTGAGGTCTGGTGACGCTCAGGTTAAATCACACCAGTAGTCTCTCGTCAATGAGAGAGCAGCCCTTATCTTTACCTTTGTTTTTAAACCCACTCCATTTTCTCCAAGCTAACCCAGCTTCACTTCAATCCATCTTATTTAAAGCTAGTCCAATTAATTTTATTCTTCAACCCCCTGCTCGAGAGTGAATTACCTTGAGTTCAAGCAGCAAGATCAAACAACCTGAGTAAATCTGAAGCCAGGATGAAAACTCTCTAGGCATAATTTCATCAGAAAGGAAAGTGGTTTGTATGTAGAAAGGGAGAACAGTTCAACAAGCCGCGAGCAGCCATGGGACTGTATCACAGTGAAGCTTTCAGCAGAGGAGTGGGGAGGAAATCACTTGGAAAATAATGTCAGACAGTGGCAATATGAATGCAGTCAGATTTTACCATGTACAGTCTGTATCAGTGCAGATACCTGCACCAAAGGTCAACTGAACTGTTAACATAGGAGGGTGCGAATTTCAGCTGAAGATTGTTTGCTGCGATTTTGGCAGCAGAAGCACTGGGAAAAATGGTATTTGTGCCATTCCTTCAGAGAATTTGCGATTGAATCATAGAATCCCTACAGTGTGGAAACGGGCCCTTCAGCCCAACAAGTCCACACTGACCCTCGGAGCATCCCACGCAGACCCATCCCCCTATAACCCACCTAATCTACACATCCCTGGACACCATGGGCAATTTAGCATGGCCAATCCACCTAACCTGCACATCTTTGGACTGTGGGAGGAAACCTGAGCGCCCGGAGGAAACCCGAGCAGACATGGGGAGAATGTGCAAACTCCACAGACAGTCGCCCAAGGGTGGAATTGAACCGGGTCCCTGGCGCTGTGAGGCAGCAGTGCTAACCACTGAGCCACCATGCTGCCGATTCTTTCTGCTAGCGTCATGGCAGACAGTTCCGGTTGAAAGTGATATCAGCGAGGCATGCTAATGTACAGTGTGCAGATGTATATCAAACATGTATTGTTAAAATCTTACCTATTAGCTGACTCTTTCTTCAACCAGAAAGCAAACGATTCATTTTGGCATGTCTATTCCACTTTTGTACAGTAGATACGTTTCTCTACAGTAACAACGTTTCCCTCGTTTGACATTTAAAACAGTACTGAGACATGGATTGGATGTCCTAACCTTCCTGTTACTGCCCCTTTTCCTTTCAGATGTTCCACAGGTGTCAGCGAGCGGTACAGAGCCTGCAAAGCAAATGGCGCAGTTGTACAGAGCAGGAAGAACGGGTCCTTCGAAATGTCGTCACTTCTCTGGCACAAGCCCTTCAAGATCTGTCAACCAACTTTCGGCATGCTCAGTCCAACTATCTCAAACGTATGCGGCCAAGGGCTGGGAACCATTTTAATCTGAATGCTATTGTTTGAGCATCATGGGCCCTCTGTGTATATCAATGTGAACAGTGTTCTGTAGGACATGGGAGGATTTGTATTGACTAATAAATGGAGGTAGCATCAAATATCTTCATCAAATTAAAACTGATGTTACTAAAATTACGTTAGCGTTAACAGTTTACGAGCAGAAGAATTGTTACTGTAACTGCTCAGATTACTTTGGAGTTTCAGTTGTTCCTTCATTGAGACTGTCAGAGTATCTTGCAGTATAGGCAGCCATTTAGCACCCCCTGTCTGCAGAGTTTTGCCCTTGGCAAGTATATACATGCTGTTGGTGGTTAGTAAATTTACATCCAAATCCTTTTTGGGCAGAGAATTCCAGATCAAAACTTTCTGCGTTTACATAAAAATATCTGTTTTTCTTGAATATCTTAAAATTGTGTGCTGCGGTTACTGATCCTTCAATTTTCTTATTTGCTGTAACAAAGTTACTCAAATTTGAACACCTATTATACCTCTATTAAAAATTCTAGATCATATAGTGAACAATCAAAACTCTACAAGATATAGGAGCAGAATTAGGCCATTCAGCCCATCGAATCTGCTGTGTCATTTCAATCATTGCTGCTGTTTTTTTTTCAGTCCCATTCTCTTGTCTTCTCCTTGATTCCCTTACTAATCCTATTCTTGTGTTCTTCAATCTTTCCACACAAATATGATCAATCTACTCTTCACCCTCACTTTAGTGTCGATATTTTTTCTGAAGTGCCATGTCCAGAAATGGACACAAAACTCTAGCTGAGACCTAAACAGATTTATAAATATTTAGCCAAGCTTCCTTTTTTATACCTCAGAGATTTTTGGTTTTACAAACGTACTTGAAGGCTTTGAAATGCATCTTCTGGACAGCATATGTAATATTTTGGAAGCCCTGTAACAGTTGCTCTGCTTAACAAGTGTGTGCAAGTATTCTGACATTCTTGAGAGAAATCCTACTCACTTAGTAGAATGTGATGTGAGCTGACATTCATTGTGCACGTGTAGAATGAGTGAGGAATTGTATACTGCTGGCATCCATTTATCCCAGCAAGATTCAGGAATTCTAGGGGAATGGACAGAATTTGAAAGGGGTTCCTGTTGAACCCTGCTAAATAGGATATGCTTAATCAGCAGAAGGGACTAAAATAATTGTTGTTATTCACATGCTGCATGTTTGCACCCTTCTGTTTATAGCATTTTTGTTTATGTGATAGGTTTGAAGAATCGAGAGGAAAGGTCCAAACACTTTTTTGATACATCAGTGCCACTAATGGATGATGGTGAAGACAACAACCTTTATGACAAAGTGGGTACATTAATCATCAACGCTATGCTGCAGAGATACTAATCAAACAATATTATTGTTATTATCTGAGATTCATAAGGAGAGGCTGAATTGGCTGGGGCTATTTTCCCTGGAGCGTTGGAGGCTGAGGGGTGACCTTGAAGAAGTTTATAAAATCACGAGGGGCATGGATAGATTGAGTAGTCAAAGTCTTTTCTCCAGCGTAGGGGAGTCCAAAACTAGACAGCATAGGTTTAAGGTGAGAGGGGAAACATTTAAAAGGGCACTAAGGACCCAATTTTTTCACGTAGAGGGTAGTGCATGTATGGAATGAACTGCCAGAGGAAGTGGTGGAGGCTAGTACAATTACAACATTTAAAATGCATCTGGGTGGGTATATAAATAGGAATGGTTTAGACTGATATGGACCAAATGCTGGCAAATGGAACTACTTTAATTTAGGATATTTGGTCAGCATGGACGAGTTGGACTGAAGGGTCTGTTTCCGTGTTGTATATCTCTATGACTCTTTATTTAGTGGCACAGTCCCCATTGCCTTAGAGTGGGATGTATCAGTTTGAACATAGTTTACCTGCTATGTGTTATATCCAGCATACTAGGGCAATAAATAAAAACAAAAATGGCAGATTCTGGTAATCTGAAATATAGCAGAGAATGCTGGAGAAACTCAGCAGGTCTGTGGACAGGGAAGCAGAGTTAAATTCGAGTCCAGAGACGACCCTTCAGAACAAGGGTAGTGGTATTCAAACGATCACCAGGACTGTTGTAGCTCCCCATTGAATAGACTAATCAAGACTGCAGTGCAACTTGCTATACTTAAGGGCAGCCAATATTTAGTACCAACTAACCTTAGACCTCTTGGAAACAAATTAGAAAGGTTTAAAAATGCCATAACTAATTGAACATTAATAAGTTGTTATTTACAGATTTCCTTCCATATGTTTGTTCTTGCATTCCCTGCACATTAATGAGGTGTGAACCAGTGAATAAACACTGCTGTTGTTCCTTCCCAGAATAAACTGAGCATTTGAGATACTATATCTACCAACTGTGAAATTGAGGTTAATGTGAACTTTGTTAGCGATTATTGCTTTGTGGCCGCAATAAATGACTTTACATTTTAAATGTGGATAATCTTATGTTGTGGGGCCTGTGGCACAAAGATGGAGTGCAAGATTGTTCAGGGCTAAGCATTTTGAGAGTTATTATCTAATTGCTGTTGCAATCTAAGTATCCAATTTAAGACAATAAGAGCAAAGTACTATGGATGCTGGAGAAACTCAGCAACTCTGGCAGCAGTTGTGGAGAGAGAGAGACAGTTAACATTCTGAGTGCAGAATGACTTCTTCAAAACTGAAGAGGACTAGAAAAGTATATGGTGTATATGGAAATCAGGACTGCCATGAAAGCGTGGGTTATGACTTGTAGTCAGATAATAGGTGCTTCACACTGTTTCTGAATGTTTTTATCCAAGTGGCCTCTGTGGCCCTCACCCACTCTTTTGCACTGTGAAAGTGTAATGCTACTGAGTTGGTATTGGCTAAAGAACTAAAGATCCAGTTCAAATGCCACTACAAGATTGTGAGAATTTGAATTCAGTTTAAGATCTGGAAATATAAAATTGATACCCATAAAAGTGACTTTGAAACTGTCAGTTTCTGATGGGAACTGACCTTGATCACTGATGTTGTTGAGAGAGAGAAATCTGTCCTTCTCAAGTCTTATCTACAGATTAGTCTGGTTCCACACTAACATAATTGATTTTCATTCCCTCTGAAGTGACTGAATATGTCATTTAATTCAGGCTACAAGGCAATTAATGCCAGTTGTCTTTGGGATGAGCACCTCCCAAGAATGTAGCAAGGGAAGGTGTGTGCAATTTACTAAAATTTCCTGTTGTACCCTGTCCATGATTGATTTAACTGTACTAAAGGTATCTGCGTAGGCCTTATATTCCTTCTCTGTTGTATTCACAGGGTTTTACACACGATCAGCTGCTCCTGGTGGAAGAGAACACTTTGATGGTGGAAGAGCGAGAAAAGGAGATCCGACAGATTGTGCAGTCAATATCGGACTTGAATGAAATTTTCAGAGAGCTGGCCAGCATGATCGTGGAGCAGGTTGGTTGATTTTAAAGAAGCATTTAGATGTAAAAATAAAATTCCTTTTCAGCTTTGCAACTAGAAGGAAGGAATCATGCGCACATACATGTGTTTAACCTCCGGTGTTTCCCAGTTTCAGCTTACCACCACCCCACACTCCCTGACCCCTCGCCAGCTCCATATTCAACCCTGTGCTTTATACACCATCAAATCGTGTTGGCAGTGATCAGAGCTTGGAATTCTTCCAGGAAGAAGGTGGCCCACTTTACTTGGCCCATTCTGGTATAGGGAAGCCCAATTAAACAGCCCTTCAGGGCAAAGTGAGAGTGGCAACACATTACTTCCAAAATTAAAAGTTCTTCATGGAATCATTTTCCCACCCCAAGGTCTTCTTGCTTACCCAGTTTCACTTTGTCAACACCCTGCAGCATTGGAGCATCCTGTTGGCCAGTATGTTGCAAAGGCATTTTGAGACAGTATGTTGACAATCCAACATGCGAGAAGGCCATACTAGACTTGGTATTAGGGAATGAGCCAGGACAGGTGATCAATGTTTCAGTGGGAGAGCATTTTGGGCTTAGTGGCCATATCTCCATAAGATTTCGAGTAGTCATCAACAAGGACAAGAGTGGCCCTCGGATGAAGGTGTCTAATTGGGCAAGGACCAATTATATCCAAATTAGACAAGAACTGGGGAATGTGGATTGGGAGCAGTTATTTGAGCGCAAATCTACGTCTGGCATGTGGGAGGCTTTTAAAGACCAGTTGACTAAATTGCAGGACATGCATGTCCCTGTAAAACTGAAGGATAGGAATGGCAGGATCCACGAACCATGGATGACAAGGGAAATTGTAAACTAAGGAAAACAGAAGCATACGATATGTCTAGGCAACTACAAACTGACGAAGCCGTTGGCGGCTACAGAGAAAGTAGGAAGAAACTTAAATGCAGAATTAGGAAGGCTAAACGGGACTATGAAATGCCTTTAGCAAACAGGGTCAAGCAGAATCCCAAGGCTTTTTATTCATATATTAGGAGAAAGAGGATAGCAAGGGAAAGAGTAGCCCCCTGCTCAAGGACAAAGGAGGGAAGTTGTATGTGGAGCCACAGGAAGTGGAAGAGATCCTTAATGATTCCTTTGTATCGAGGAGAAGGACATGACTGATGTTGAGGTCGGGTGAGTGTGTGAATACTCTAGAGAATGTCAATATATTAAAGGAGGAAGTTTTGGGTATCCTAAATTGCATTAAGGTAGACAAGTCCCCAGGTTACTGCGAGAGGCAAGGGAAGAGATAGCTGGGGCATTAGCAGATATCTTCATACCCTTTTTGACCACAGGCAAGGTTCCAGAGAACTGGAGATTAGCCAATGTTGTTCCCTTGTTTAAGAAAGGAAGCAGGGATAATCCAAGAAATTATAGGACGGTGAGTCTGACATCTGTGGTGGGAAGCTCTTGGAGAAGAGACTGGGGGACATGATATATGCACATTTGGAAGAAAATGGACTAGTTAGCAACAGGCAGCATGGTTTTGTATGGGGAAGGTCATGTCTCACCAACCTGATTGAATTTTTTGAAGAGGTGACAAAGATAATTGAGGGAAGAGCTGTGGATATAATGTATATGGATTTTAGTAAGACATTTGATAGAAGTCATTTGATAAAGTCCTATGTGGCAGTTTGATATAAAAACTAAAATCACTTGGGATTCTGAGTGGGCCAGCTGGATAGATACAACATGGCTCGATCATAAAAGACAGAGCGTAGCAGTGGAAGGGTGTTTTTCAGAATGGAGACTGGTAACTAGTGGTGTTCAGTCTTAGGTCCTCTGTTGTTTGTAGTATATATAAACGATCTGGAGGAAAATGTTGGTCTGATTAGTAAGGTTGCAGATGACACGACGATTGGTGGAGTTGCTGATTGTGCTGATGATTGTGAAAGGATACAACAAGATATAGATAGATTAGCGACTCGGGCACAGAAATGACAGGTGGAGTTCAATCCAGCCAAATATGAAGTGATGCATTTTGGACGATCAAATTTAGGTGTGAATTATACTGTAAATGGCAGAACCCTTAGGAACATGAACATTCAGATGGATCTGGGCATGCAGGTCTACAGTTTCCTAAAAGTGGCAACACAGGTGGCCAAAGTGATTAAGAAGGGCATATGGCGTGCTTGCCTTCATCGGCCAAGGCATAGAGTACAAGAGTTGGCAAACCACGTTGCAGCTTTATAAAACCCTTGTTAGGCCGCATTTGGCGTATTGTGTGCGGTTTTGGATGTCATGTTACCAGAAGGACGTAGAAGCTTTGGAGAGAGTGCAGAGAAGGTTCACCAGGATGTTGCCCAGTCTCCAGGGCATTGACTGTGAGGAAAGGTTAAAAAGACTAGGATTGTTTTTATTGGAAAGACAGTGGCTGAGAGGAGACCTGATAGACATCTACAAAATTATGAGAGGCATAGATAGGGTGGATAGTCAGAGGATTTCTCTCCGGGTTGAAGTTTCACTTACAAGGGGGCACAGGTTCGAGGTGAGACGGGGAAAAGTTTAAGGGAGATGTGCAAGGAAAGTTTTTCATACAGAGAGTAGTAGGATCCTGGAACACACTGCCAGAGGAGGTGGTGGAAGCAGGCATGTTGGCGACATGGAAGAGGCATCCGGATGGTTATATGAATAGGGAGAGAAGAGAGGAAGATGGACCGAATAAGGGCAGAAGGTTTGTTTTTTGGGTTAGTCAAGGCATGATGATCAGCACAGGGCTGAAGGGCCTGTTACTGTGCCGTACTTCTCTTTCGTATCTGATAAAAGTTTGATTAACCATACAGCTGCCTCACTTTATATATTCATTTTCAGGGAACTATCTTGGACCGAATTGATTATAATGTGGAACAGTCCTGTATTAAAACGGAAGAGGGCTTGCAGCAGTTACAGAAGGTATAATTCTGTTTCTACAGGAGTTATTTGTTATAAGTGATACGCAGGTCTCTGCAGTGAATATAGTGAACGTACTACAGAAGACATAATGTATGAATTTGCTTGTATCGTTATTGATTTGATGAAATGACTGGGCCACTAATTTAGATATCTTCTAATCAACCTGTTATAACACACCTCTGGAGCAGGTGGGACTTGAACCCAGGCTCCTGGTTCAAAGGTAGGGATACAGCCACTGCATCACAAGACCATCTCCATTACCTGGGGTTCCAAGATCCATCATAACTAGCAATCGGTTGTCAAGCTGAAACCTTTATTCTGTTCTCCTCTCCAGTGTTAATCAGACCGTATTCTTAAATTCAGCAAGACCTGAGGGAAACCCATCTCTCAGTTCTCCTGTCCTCTTTCTTTCCTTGCCACTGAACTAATATACGGTACATAGGAACAGAAGGAGGCCATTCAGCTGCTTGAGCGCATGCAGCCACTTAGTTAGATCATGATTGCTCTGTATTTTAGCTCCATTTACATGCTTTGATCCATGTCCCTGATATCCTTACCTAACAAAATTCTGTCAGTTTCGATCATGAATGCAACTATTGTCCCATCATCCACAGCCAAATTTCCCCTACCCTTTGTATGGGGAACTGTTTCCTGATTATCTCTCTCTGTTTCTCCCTCCCTTTCTTCCTGCCCTGCCCCCACTCTAATTTATCATTTTCACTTCTTGTTCCTGACTGTCCTAGCAGAGGGCACAGTTTCAAAGCTTCTCATACTGAATCTTTTTAATATTTTAAATGCCTCTTTCAGGCCACCCTTCAACTTACATTTCATAATCTAACCTTGTGTAATTTTTTTAATGAAGGGATAAATTGTACAGGCGCTTTACATGGTAAATAATAAAAGATTATTTCAACTGATCAGTGAATCAGGACCGAGTTAGGATGCTCATTAAAGGGGAAGTTGGTAGAAATAGCTTTCCTTATTACTTTTTAAAATACGGAATCACAGCAGCTTGTGAAGCGGAGTTGATCAGATTTTAAAAAATTTTTCCGTGGAGAATAACACTTAAAAAAAAAAGACGCAGGATGGGAATGGGATTAGAGTCAGTGGCTTCATTATTGAGCTGTTGCAAGTGCCGTGAACTTGAAATGATGCATCACAGGGTATGTATGATGGTACATAAACAAGTTTTTTTTTTAATTTCAAAAAGGTTCTTACAGTTTGCTTTCTAATTTTGCAGGCAGAGCAATACCAAAAGAAGAATCGAAAGATGTTGGTCATTCTGATCTTGTTTGTGATCGTAGTTGTTCTCATTGTCGTGTTAATAGGTGTCAAATCAAGGTGATTGGCAGAAACTCCCCTGTGGCAGGAGCCAAGAGGAAAATTCACTGAGTTGGTGATTAAAAAATAATGTCTGCGAGGGGGAGCTGTGGAACAGGATCAGATTCCCTGAATTCCTTCACTACAGAAAATCAGGAATGTACTGTGATTGCTGTGTTGTAAATTGAATTTGGGGAGTAGGGGATGGGGGAAAGGTGTGTTCTTTCTCGCTGCTGTGAGCAGTACTTGGATTTGCTTCTTTCCGCTTTTCCTTCTCCAGCTGATGATGTGCTCGTGGCCTGTAACTAACTGATCTCCCATCTTTGAGGACACACTCGGCTTTACAAGGAGCATCATCGGTGTCTCAAGGAGCGGAGTTGGGGGCTGGTGCCTCACTGGTTGCCTTGAGCACACCTGGTTCCTCTACCTTCCCTTCCTTTCAGTGCACTAATGTATGTGTTGCAACAGTTCTGATTTTTGTGTAATGAACTTTGTTTCTGGAGGAGATGACTTATAACCAATCTTTGTATTTATAGTTGTGTCCAATTGTGACCATCAAAAGCAAAATCATTTAAGACTTTAATGAGCAAACAATTCTTGAAGGTGTACGTGTTGTTTAACTTTATTGTCCTACTTTCTGCTTGGCATACCGTGTGCACGTTGGAATACACAGCAGTCTGCGCTTTCACTTTGGGTTGTCAAGGTAGATCTTCCCCTTGCAAAAAATGGCAGCAGAACAGTACAATGGCAGTCCGTGTCTGTAATTTGTTACTGCCAACCCCTGGCCCACCAAAGCCGAGAGAGGGAAGAGAAAGTGTCAGGATGAGTTGTAAAGTTGACAGAGTCTTATTGATGGCTTCCCAAACTGTGGAGTCGGAGTTCTGAGGTAGCACTGGTTGAGACTGAACCGAGGTCCCTTTAAATCCACAACTTTTTTTCTAACGCTGGGCATGGCCTATCTTTGAAGTCTTATTCCTCCTCCGGAAAAGCCAAATTTTTTTCCTGCAGTTTATACATTTCTCATGGTACTTAACCTCAGTTCGTTTTAGCTTTTTGAAATCTCTGCCCTCTTTGCTTTCTCAAATTGTCCATCCAACCTACCTCTCACTTGGATCATGGCAAGTTTCAGACATCAAAGTGAGGTCATGTTGGGGAAAGGTTTGGGAAACAGTGTGCTCGGCTGGCTCGAAGATGTATCGGGGACAGAGATCCCTACACTTCTGGCCACTGTTGGTGATTAAAATACTGAAATAAGAATGAGTTTGAAAGCATACAAGGCATAACCAATATTACCAAACAAGAAGAAACATGAATAGGAAGGAAAATGTGTGATGCTTTATTTAACAGTTGGTGGTTGGAATAGAGTTAGTTGGGCTAAAGTCAGGAAAATATAACAAAATAGGAGATCTTTATTTGAAAAACTGAGGAATTTCACTCAGGTCATCCAGACTTTCTGTAATGGTCAAGGACCTTTCAACTTCTGTTTGTCTCTTTCTGCAGGAGTGAGACTTGGACAGTGTGTCGCTTAGTTGGGCGGCACGGTGGCTCAGTGATTAGCACTGCAGCCTCACAGCGCCAGGGGGCCGGATTTGATTATACCCTCGGGCAACTGTCTGTGTGGAGTTTGCACATTCTCCCTGTGTCTGCGTGGGTTTCCTCCAGGTGCTCCAGTTTCCTCCCACAGTCCAAAGATGTGCAGGCTAGGTGGATTGGCCATGCTAAATTGCCCGTAGTGTTTAGGGACGTGTAGATTAGGTGGGTTATAGGGGATGGGTCTGGGTGGGATGCACCGAGGGTTGGTGTGGACTTGTTGGGCCGAAGGGCCTGTTTCCACACTGTAGGAATTCTGTGAAAAACTAGGAATTCTGTGAAAACCAAATTGTGCAATGTGATTAGTAGATTGGCTCCAAGTGAGCAGAAAGCACTTCATATTTGAGCAGGTAGCATGTAACTGATGATATTATCATCAAATCAGGTGAATATTGGGACTTGGTGGAGAGATGTGCTTTAATTTGAAACTTTATTAACACCACCACAGTGTGGGGCCATAAACCAAGTGATGGGAGTTGGTGCCGAATATCTCTGCTTTTCTACATTCTCCAGTGAGAATTTTTTTTATTGTTCTGTCCCTTGTATTTAAGTGTTTTGATGGACCAGAACATTTTTTTAAAATTTTACCTTTAATATAAATGGAATAAACAGTTTGGAACACTCCAGCTTTTATTCCCTTTGTCTCAAGGGGAAGAAGTGTTTGTACCTAGCTTGTGACCTCACTGTTATGGCTCCCATATGCATTTGGTTCAAATGTAATGGGTTTGATTTGTGTTTTTAATAACCTGGAGTTCTTCATGCATGTGAGCCCCATTTCCAGATAATGGGAATGAGCTGAATGTACTGCCTAAAGTGTACTTAACAGTATTGTGAAACTACTTTAGAAGACATTTTCTGAAGGGAGCATACATTTATAAAGATGTCAATTAATTTATACCATGCTCATGGGCACCATATTGTCTATTTTATGACCTTGGATGGGAATTTTAATTAAAGACAAATGGTTCGTAGCATTACTTTATAACTGTTGGGTTCTAGTCTTAACTCGTTGAGTAATGGCATACAGGAAATAGAATGAGGTTGCAGTGAATGCAGAGTAATGGAGAAACTTTGAGGTGGTGAAGGGATGCAAAGTAGATCGAAACAGACAATTTTTAGTAGCTTAGCAATCTGGAACAAATAATGTAGATATACAGTTAAACATAACAGATTTGATGCAGAGAGTAAAGATTGCTGGACAGAGCTAGTGATTGTAGCAGGGACTATGCCAGCATTAAAGAATGGATTTGATAGGTCGTTCAGTGAAAGACAGGAATAATGTGATTGTGGAAAAGAGGCAACCGATGGGAGCAAAATGAGCATAAGGATACTGCTCAAGTGGAGGAATAAACATCCACATGTACTGGTTGGACGACAAGTTTTTAGTGGCAGAATTTCTGCTTAGTTCCATATGATTTGAAAAGGAAATGGAGGGAAAGAAGAGACTGAGTTTGGATGTAATTGAGGGGGAATATTGGATTGAGAGAGACAAACTGCAGCAAAAGCAGAAACAAACTGCAGATGCTGGAGATGTTCAATTTTAAAAGTAAATGCTGGAAACTGTCCCTCAACAAGTCAGGCAACATGTGTAGAGGAAGAGAGCTAGAATTTCAGATCAGTTTCTGATGAAAAGTCATTCACCTGGACCATTAACTGTTCCTTTCACTCCACAGGCACTGCCCAACCTGCTAAGTTTTTCCAGCATTTTCTGTTTTTATTTCAGAGACTGAAAATCCTGGTAAGAGTAAAGATTAGCAACTTAAAAACTAAACTAGACTTAATTGCTGGGATAAGCTGCCCCAAGCATCCTGTTGTCTGGAATATTCTGTCGAATGGGCTCAGCAAAATGAGAAAATGGCTACCTCAGTACTGTTGTAGACATTATTGCACCTTATTAATGATCTGAAATTCTATATCGTGGTATGATTTTCTTGTAGTTCAGGACACTAATTGTGCATGTAAAATATGAGGCCTCTTTAATGTAGCATTCTGTTCTGGGACTGCTCCGATTCACAGCAATGTAAAGCACCCACTGAGTGCGTGAGGTGGATTTCCCTGGCCTGCTGTAGTTGCAGGTGACCAGACACAGCTGGACATGTCATTAATGAGGGCCAAAAGCTGGAAGTTGTGTAGTGTGCAGTTCAACTGACTCCCCAGAGCCGCCACTCCAATTACAAGGGACAAGTCAGGTGTGTGATGAAATACTCTTCATTTACCTGGATGAGTGAAGCTCCAACAACACTCAAAGCTCAACTGCATCCAGGACAAAACAGTCCATTTGATCATTGCCCCATTCACCAGCTTCACTCCCTCTACAACCAACACAGATGAGCAGCAGCGTAGACTAGCTACAAAATACACCGTAGCTACTTGCCAAGCCTTCTTAGATAGCATCTTCTAAACCATGACCTCTAACAGCCAGAAGGACAGTACATGGGAACTCTACCTCTCTTTGCCACTTATCATCCTGATTTTGAACTATAATTGCCGTTTATTTACTTTTGCTGGGTCAAAACCCTGGAACTCCATTCCAAACTGCTCTGTGGGTATACCTACACTACAAGAACTGCATTGATTATCCACCTTCTCCAGGGCAACTAGGGATGGATCATACACCCTGAGTGTATTGGACAGTAACAGATGGAATAATGGACACAATCATTGCACCTTATTTGAATGCTGAAGTTGGACTGCCTGGAGAATTTGCCCAACATTGCATTGGAAATTGTGGATTCTTCATAATCCCCAAATGGTGGGGATAGCAAGGAAGATTCATGGATTTTTACATGGATTGGGCTGGATAAGCACAGTGTCTTATTCCAGACTTGATGTTCTTCTGTTTGAAGTGATAGATTACAAAGTGGCAAAAAGGAAGAGGGAGTGCCCGTAGAAGTGAAAAGGATCAAGGTTAGTGTCTCTGACGGCACTTGCTGTATTCCCTGACTGCTGGTTCAGCATTGAATATCTAAATGTTTTTAGACAGTAGGGCAATATGATGGTTGATCCTATAAACTGCACAGCTTGCAAATATTTCTTTGCTGTTAGCAAGGCTTTATACAATATTCATCATAGACACAGATCATTTGGCTAAACACTCCATCCTGACATTACTGCCACCTCAACTTGAGCCTCCTTCCAACGTTCCTCACCTAATTTTATCAGTGAAACCCTTTGTTTCCTTTTCCCTCATACATATCCAGCCTCACTTCCAGCATATTTATACTAGTTGCCTCAACCAATTCCTTTGTAGTGAGTTCCACATTCTCACAACCTCTCTTAGGTTGAGAAGTTTCTTCTGAATTCCCAATCAGATTCTTGGTAACTATTTCATGGTCTTCTCGTTTGGCTGTTCCCCACTAAAAAATGCTGAAGTGTCTACTCTACTAAGACTTTAGATAATTTTAAATGATTTCTATCCAGCTACACCCTTCAGCCTTTTCAATTGAAAAGAGACCCAGGCTTTTCATTCGTTCCTGATCATCCTTTGCTCCCGAGGCATCTCTTCATATATAGTCAGCCCATCTTAAATTAGTTATAGCAACTTAATTGTTGTTTCAAGAGAAGATTGTGTTTCAGTGCACTTTTCAGTGAGTGCACATGCACAAAAGACTTGTATGATTGCCTGCATCTCTCAGTAGGTATTGTCTGCTATACATTGCAATCCACAGGTACTTTTCTAACATTGTCCACAGCATTATCCCTGCAGCCTTACTTTGGTCTTCTGGCTCTGAGCATGGGACCTATCTAAATTTAAGGAGCTGCAAAAATTCCACTAAGAAGGAATTGCTTTTTGTTTGGAATGTTGACAATGTGAAAGTGGTCCATTGCTGTGTAAGTTTGCTCCTTTTAAAAAGGAACTCAGTGGTTACCTGTTTAGGATTAATTTTGAACACTACAGGGATAAATAGACACAACAGAGAAAAAGATGGTTCCTGCATTGCCTCCACCCATGGAATTGTGCTAGAATCATTGCAGATGGAGAAGAGAACGCATGGTCAAATTGCTATTCTGAGGTCTTGATAGCCTTGTGGGGGAAAGAAGGTGATGAAACTTTATACTCAAGATTATGTGGTAAAAATCATGAAAGAAGGGATTGTAAGTGCAGGATTGGGAGCATTGACAGGCTAAATGGCTGTTACCTTCTGCCATGTGCGGGTGATCTATCTGTACGCTGCAGATGGATGGTTGTATCAGAAGGTAAATTTCCCAAACCTGGGAACATGGTTCAGAAATTAGGCTGCATTCCTTGCTTGGTGAATTTACGAGTGACTTGATGTAACTAATGGTGGGAAGTAGACATTATATTTGAGTGAACGCTGAGCGGATCTCCACCTTTTCATATCAAGACTGCAAAATGCCTCCACCCATCTTCCACAGATGTATACAGACTATTGTGTACAAACAAGCGAAGGAGCTGAAGCCATTTGACTGGTTAGGTGGACATAGTTTCGAGTTATTGCGAATCCATGTGACGAGAGCAAGTTTTCATCAGTCCCCTCACGACACCACTCACAGCTGCTTATGTGAAGCTAAGAGCCACACAAACTTAAAGGTATCTAATAAAGGGAAGGGATTAGGTGGTAGAGTCCTTGCATACTTATTACTGAAGATGGCTTCTCTAAGATGACCTTTGAACTATTGCTGTCCAGTGCTAATAGCCCTCTGTAAACAGCACTTCTCCAGATCTGTTCTCCAGCAGTTAGCTGGTTTGTACCATTAGGAGCAGAGGTGGCTTTCTCTACAGCGCTGCTCACAGGATCTTTGTCTGCACTCTGCGAGTGACAAGAAGTGAGTTCAGGCTTGGGATTTTATTTTGATGTGGAAACTGTTTCATTTTCTTAAACAAGGTGATGACTGAAGAGGTGTTATTTTACAAAATGCTTAAATACATGAATTCTTGTTTTGATTATGTTCCTGATAAGCAGCCAGTTTCAGTTTAGAGTCTAATTGACTATTAACCCATGCAGCATTACTAGTTTTTGCAACCTGTTTGAAAGACAGCTTAACATGTTCTTGTGCATGAGCTATGTGGTAGAAAAATGATTGTGCATCCCATCTCTGTGCTGCACTTGCTTTTCTTTGTGTGGAAGGTGGAAGTAATATGTCTGATATAATATGTCAAACAATTTATTGGTAACACTTGGGTGCTGGTGTGAGATCAGACATTAGTATGCACTAGCTAACTTTGTATGGCTTGCGCATAGTTCACTGTTCCTGTACATTTACAGTACTCAGTCAGTAAGAAAGGAACTGGCCCTGTACTCTTAGTGCAGAGTCCTGGAACACAGAAGTTGTATCTCCCACCATGATTGAATAAAATTTTACATAGCCTCTCTTGTAGAAGGGAGCTGTAATAATGGTTGGGATAATAAGGGATGGGATACATTGCCTGGTGCCCCTTGTTATACAGTGTGAACTGTACAAAATCCTTATATTTATATTTGTATAGTCTAAGAACTGACCTCAAATGGAAATACATGTTGTTTGTGTATACTTTTGCTTGTTTTTTTTTGTGTAAGCTGCAAATAACAATAAAAAGGAATTTGAAAAGCTTCAGCTACTGTAGTTTTTTAAACACCCGATGCAACACATTAATATGTACTGGTTTCAGTTGCCAAAAGGGGTTAGAGAGGAACTGTTTACATTTTTTCCCTTGGGGCCCCTATATTTCCTTTTCAAATTTTCCCTTACCCAGGAAACACTCTGTCTGGATTGTAAAGGCCATAGCCATTATGCTTTCAGCATTATGAATAATGGTCTGTGGTCTCTCTTCTGGCTGTAATTTTCATACATTTCTATATAGAACAAACATATAGCTTTGAGGGATGGAGTTAAGAGAGAGAGAGGGAGTGTGATCTGGATAAATGACTCGGTGACACCAATGGCAATGCACAGATCTTTAGAAGCAATACAGCAGCAATGTTCAAGGAAGTGATTGAGATGGGGGGAAAAGAAACATTGAACTTGAGAGGCAAATGCTAGCATCAAAGAAGTTTGTTGTTGGGGCATATTAACAGCCTGTCAACCTTTAAAACAAAATGTCAGTTAACAAATTGGTTCGAGACAACAAGGTGCAAGGCTGGATGAACACAGCAGGCCAAGCAGCATCATAGGAGCAGAGAGGCTGACGTTTCGGGCCTAGACCCTTCATCAGAAAAGGGGGAGGGGAAGGGGGTTTTGAAATAAATAGGGAGAGAGTGGGAGGCGGATAGAAGAGGGATGGAGGAGAGGATAGGTGGAGAAGAAACAAACAGGTCGAAGAGGCGGGGATGGGGCCAGGAAAGGTGAGTGTAGGTAGGGAGTTAGGAAGGGGATAGGTCAGTCCAGGGAGGACGGACAGGTCAAGGGGGCGGGATGAGGTTGGTCGGTAGGAGATGGAGGTGCGGCTTGAGGTGGGAGGAGGGGATAGGTGGGAGGAAGAACAGGTTAGGGAGGCAGGGACGAGCTGGACTGGTTTTGGGATGCGGTGGGGGGAGGGGAGATTTTGAAACTTGTGAAATCCACATTGATACCATTGGGCTGCAGGGTTCCCAAGCGGAATATGAGTTGCTGTTCCTGCAACCTTCGGGTGGCATCGTTGTGGCACTGCAGGAGGCCCAGGATGGACATGTCGTCTGAGGAATGGGAGGGGGAGTTGAAATGGTTCGCGACTGGGAGGTGCAGTTGTTTGTTGCGAACCGAGCGTAGGTGTTCTGCAAAGCGGTCCCCGAGTCTCCGCTTGGTTTCCCCGATGTAGAGGAAGCCACACCGGGTACAGCGGATGCAGTATACCACATTGGCAGATGTGCAGGTGAACATCTGCTTGATGTGGAAAGTCTTCTTGGGGCCTGGGATGGGGGTGAGGGAGGAGGTATGGGGGCAGGTGTAGCACTTCCTGCGGTTGCAGGGAAAAGTGCCGGGTGTGGTGGAGCTGGAGGGGAGTGTGGAGCGGACAAGGGAGTCACGGAGAGAGTTGTCCCTCCGGAAAGCAGATAAAGGTGGGGAGGGAAAGATGTCTTTGGTGGTGGGGTCGGATTGCAGATGGCGGAAGTGTCGGAGGATGATGCGTTGGATCCGGAGGTTGGTGGGGTGGTACGTGAGGACGAGGGGGATTCTTTTTTGGTTTTTATTGCGTGGACGGGGTGTGAGGGATGAGGTGCGGGAGATGTGGGAGACACGGTTGAGGGCGTTCTCGACCACTGAGGAGGGGAAGTTACGGTCCTTGAAAAACGAGGACAACTGAGATGTACGGGAGTGGAATGCCTCATCCTGGGAGCAGATGCGGCGGAGGCGAAGGAATTGGGAATAGGGGATAGCATTTTTGCAGGAAGGTGGGTGGGAGGAGGAGTATTCTAGGTAGCTGTGGGAGTCGGTGGGCTTGAAATGAATATCGGTTTCTAGGTGGTTGCCCGATATGGAGACAGAGAGGTCCAGGAAGGGGAGAGAGGTGTTAGAGATGGTCCAGGTAAACTTAAGGTTGGGGTGGAAGGTGTTAGTGAAGTGTATGAACTGTTCGAGCTCCTCGTGGGAGCACGAGGCGGCGCCGATACAGTCATCAATGTAACGGAGGAAGAGGTGGGGTTTAGGGCCGGTGTAGGTACGGAAGAGGGATTGTTCCACGTAACCTACAAAGAGGCAGGCGTAGCTTGGGCCCATGCGGGTACCCATGGCTACCCCCTTTGTCTGTAGGAAGTGGGAGGAATTGAAAGAGAAGTTGTTGAGTGTGAGGACGAGTTCGGCTAAGCGGATGAGGGTGTCAGTGGAGGGGGACTGGTCGGGCCTGCGGGACAGGAAGAAGCGGAGGGCCTTAAGGCCATCTGCATGGGGAATGCAGGTGTAGAGGGACTGGACGTCCATGGTAAAGATGAGGTGTTGGGGACCGGGGAATTGGAAGTTCTGGAGGAGGTGGAGGGCGTGGGTGGTGTCACGGACATAGGTAGGGAGTTCCTGGACCAAGGGGGAGAAAATGGAGTCGAGATAGTTGGAGATCAGTTCGGTGGGGCAGGAGCAGGCGGAGACAATGGGTCGACCAGGGCATTCAGGTTTGTGGATTTTGGGAAGGAGATAGAAGCGGGCAGTGCGAGGTTGGGGAACGATGAGGTTGGAGGCCGTGGGTGGGAGGTCACCTGAGGTGATGAGGTTGTGGATGGTTTGGGAGATGATGGTTTGGTGCTCAGGGGTGGGGTCTTGATCAAGGGGGCGGTAGGAGGAGGTGTCGGAGAGTTGGCGTCCGGCCTCGGCGATGTAGAGGTCAGTGCACCACACTACAACTGCACCTCCCTTGTCCGCAGGTTTTATGGTGAGGTTGGGATTGGATCGGAGGGAGCGGAGGGCTGCACGTTCTGCGGGGGAGAGGTTGGAGTGGGTGAGAGGGGTGGAGAGGTTGAGGCGATTGATGTCTCGACGGCAGTTGGAGATGAAGAGGTCAAGGGAGGGTAGGAGGCCTTGGGGTGGTGTCCAGGAGGAGGGGGTGTGTTGGAAGCAGGAGAAGGGGTCAGTAGAGGGGGGGTTAGGTTCACGGTCAGAGAAGTAAGCGTGGAGGCGGAGGCGGCGGAAAAACTGCTCTATGTCCAAGCGTGAGCGGTATTCGTTGATCTGTGGGTGGAGGGGGACAAAGGTGAGCCCTTTACTGAGGACTGACCGTTCATCCTCAGTAAGGGGTAGGTCTGGGGGGATGGTGAAGACTCGGCAGGGCTGGGTGCTGCTGTCGCCTCTGGAGCTGCTGGCTGTGGAGGCTGTGGGCGGAGTTAACAAATGTTCACTTTCAAAGTCAGGTTTGGTGGCCTGAAGTTCTTTCACTTTACTGTGCCCAAAGTTTGAACCCAGCCACCACTCTGCTTCTTAAGAGTCGTAGTATTGGAGAGTCAGAGGTCGGAGTGTCTGATTTGGCACAAATGGTCATTCTCACTCCTGGATTGCTTGGCTGAATAGTGTAAGGGGCAGCAATATCAGCCGAGTTTGAAGTAGATGTGTTCCAGAAGTAATATAGGAACGTTTCAACTAATGTTCAAAAAGGCTAGAGGTTGTGTGTCCAGTTTGAGACCTTTGCAGCAAACTATTGAAGCTTAAGCCCATGGTAAGAAAGAGGGGAGGCGATGGCCTAGTGGTATTATCGCTGGACTGTTAATCCAGAGACCCAGATAATGTTCTGGGGACCCAGGTTTGAATCCCGCCACGGCAGATGGTGGAATTTGAATTCAATAAAATATCTGGAATTAATCTAATGATGATCATGAATCCATTGTTGATTGTCGGAAGAACCCATCTGGTTCACTAACATCCTCTAGGGAATGAAACTGCTATCCTTACCTGGTCTGGCCTACATGTGGTTGACTCTGAACTGCCCTCTGGGAAATTAGGGATGGACAATAAATGCTGCCTAGCCAGCAACGCCCTCATCCTGTTAATGAATAAAGGAACTTACAATTATGAAAGCATTTTTCATGTGCTCAGAATGCCCTGACATTCTGCACACCCAGTGAAAAGCAGTAATTGCTGTGCAGGTAACACAGCAGTGAAATTGGACTTAATGTGGTCACATGAACATGACCAGATAAATTGTCTTTTGATGATGTTGAGGGAATAAATTTCTTCAATCATGACCAACTGAGCAGGCAGACAGAACTGCAGTTTGATGTTGTATCCATCACCTTAAATTATTCACTCGCTCCCAGTAGCAGTACTGTGTACCACCTACAAGATGCACTGCAGTAAGGATCCTTAAACAGCACCTTCCAATCTCATGACCACGACATCCAGAAGGACAAGGGCAGCAGATACGTGGGAACATCGGCTCCTGCAACTTTCCCTTCAAGCCACTCACCATTCTGAATTGGATATCTGTTGCTATTCCTTCACCGTCACTGGGTCAAAATCCTGGAATTCTCTCCCTAATGGTATGAAAAGTCAGAAAGTCACATCACAGGAAAATCGTGAGTTGACTGGTTGTTTAGCAGATGTTGTTAGGGACTGTTTCAAACCTCTGTATTTTTAAAAAACATAAATTTCTAAATTGGCACCAGAGAGGGAATGATTTATCAGAATTCATAGGCACTGGAGAGCGAACTGATTTATTAGTAAGGGTGAAAATATCCACTTTCTACTAATCTACAGCTCAGTTGATAGTAAAAGAAACTTCTTTAAAATTAGTTTTCTACTTGGCAGAAATGTTGGTTTAGGCATGGCAGAGGAGCACAGTCTCATGTGTTGCACAGCTTGTAGTATGTAGGAAGTCTCAGACACTCCTGGCAGTCTGGCTCCCTACATCTGTAGGCAGTGCTGCAGTTTGACCAGTTGAGTTATGGGTTTTGGAGCTTGAATGTTGGCTGGAGCCACCGCAGTGCATCTGTGAGGCTGAGAGATATGTGAATGGCATGTTTTTAGATGTGGTCACACTACAGCTTAAGAGAGAGTGAACACCAGTCAGAGGAAGGGTCGCAGGCAGGTAGTCGGGGAAAAGCCCCAGAATTCTCTGAGGAAGGGTCACCGTACTCAAAACGTTAACTTTGATCTTTTCTTCACAGATGCTGTCAGACCTGCTGAGCTTTTCCAGCAACTTCTGTGTTTTTTGCTCCAGA